GAGGTCCTTTCCAACCCAAACCATTCTATGTAGGTCTCCTTTCTTGTCTGTGAAGGAGACTCTCAGGCAGCAACTCCATGTGGAGTCACTTTTGCCTCCTGGCTTTACCCATCCCTTATCTCTTGCGCAGGAGATGACCTTAGCGGAGCAGAAGATAATCAAGGACCTGGACAAGTGCGACTTCAGCGAGATCCACAAGTACTTTGTGGACAAAAGTGAGGCACGGAAAGTGCTCCCCAAAGAGGAGAAACAGGTGAGGGCTCTTCTCTATGTCATCTGGGACCAGCTTTGGGTGCGTTGGCTCCTGCTTCTCTCCTTTCCTGCTGTTATGCCCTGACCGGTTTGCCCTTTGGACTCTGTCTCCATGAGCATCAAACTCCTTTTCATTAAGTGGTATCTGTAGATCCTGCATGTTCCATGGCTTTGCAGGGTACCAGTCATCCTTTGACCATCATTTGGGGTTCTGACCTGTCCAGAGATGGTGGCCCTTGCTAAGGGGGTGATGGGACACAGGCTTGTTCTATCAGTGTGTCATGCTGGGAGAGCATCGCCGTGAGGGTTTGCGGAGTAGATGGAGATGAGGCTTTTGTTGGGAGTGGATTTGGACTCATGCTTCCTCTAACCCTTTGAGCTCTGCCTTTCCAGCCTTGCTTCCTCTAGAGAAAGGAGGGTAGTGATAGTCACAAGTATGGGGGCTTGGTTTCATCCTGTGGGATGATGGTGGCATGGTGCTCATCTCAGAAACTGAAGGAGGAGGCAGAGAAGATCCAGGAGGAATATGGGTACTGCATCCTGGATGGGCACCGGGAGAAGATAGGCAACTTCAAAACCGAGCCTCCGGGGCTTTTCCGTGGCCGTGGTGACCATCCCAAGATGGGCATGTTGAAGAAGAGGATCATGCCAGAAGATGTTATCATCAACTGCAGCAAGTGAGTTGCCCTGGGAAGAGCTGAGGCTGCTTCTAGGACTGGTCCTTTGCGCAGAGCTTTTGTGGGGTTTTACTATGTCCTACAACCACTCCTTTGCACACTTTGAGGTTTGAACTCATTGGAGCTCTTCTAGTTTGAACTATATTGTCTTCTACCACCTCCACATGTCTGCTGTGCAGTTAGGTCTGACTTTAGTTTGTCAATGTACAGTGGACAGGAAGCTGCTCAGCAGCTCCCATCTCTCACTGGTGCCTGCACTGTTCATGCAACATCAACTGTGAACACTGCAGTGCTCCTGTGGCCTCTCTGAAGAAGGGACACTCTGTATTCCTTCTTCTGTGCTCCTCTTCCAAACGAGCCATTCCTCTTTATTTTTATGGGACCTTGGTGCTGGCTGGAAGCATCAGGATACTCATTGGAGGGAGGAAAAGCAGTGATTGGGTTAAGAGTATTTGCCCTCTAAGTTACATGAGTTGGATTGGTTTTAAACCACCCCTATGAAGACTTTGTGGCCTTCATTTAAAACACTCCCCACCAGCCTGGCAAGTTCTCCTGTTGTCCTCAGCATCCAAATGATAGCGACCTAATCACAGGATGGTTAGTGTTGGAAAGGACCTTAAGATCATCCAGTTCATGTTGTGGAGCAGTTCTGATTGGGCTGTGTGTTTTGTGTAAGCAACACTACAATGTGTTGAGCATCCTTGGCTGATGATGAAGGAAGAGTTGAGCTGATGACCTGTTTCTTCATGGTCTGAGGGCTGTAACCCTGCTCTGCCCACAGGGACTCCAAGATCCCTGAGCCACCAGAAGGGCACAAGTGGAAGGAGGTGCGCTGTGACAACACCGTTACCTGGCTGGCCTCGTGGACAGAGAACATCCAGCACACTTTGAAGTACATCATGCTGAACCCCAGCTCCAAGCTGAAGGTTGGAAGGATGCTGCTGTGTTCGGGCAGAGCTGGTGCCTTTTGGACCACTGGCTTTTAGTCAGGTGGAAAGATCAGAGGAAAGCAGAGATGTGGCTGGCACATCACCAAGAATGTGCTTTTCTACCCCAAAAAGGGATAAGCTAAACTGATGTGCTATTGGGTGATGGGGGGAAAAGGACAGAGATGACTGTTAATCATCAATCCTATTCAATGGGATTGATTGCTATTGGCAGAGTCATCCCTGTGCCTTGCTGCTCATGTGTGTCCAGGGAAGGCTCTTGAAAGCTACATGGGGCTGAGAGGGTCCATGTGGACCAGTCTATGGGTTGAATTCATTTATGCCATTAAATGGATGGTGAGGGAGGTAGGATCAGGCTGTAGTGCCATGGAAGGGAGTGAATGCTTTCTGGGAGAGACAAAGGTGATTTAAAGCTGTTTCCAGTCCTAAAAGCAGATAAGGACACCACGTGGAAGTCAGGCACAACTGGAGTGCATTGTGTCAGCCCACGGTGATGTCCAAGCAGCAGTGGTCATGACACTGCAGTGCTTGACCGCTCTGTGCTAGCTGGTGGGGACCCCTCCAGACTATGAGCAGCTCAAACTTGTGCAGGATCCTGCACCCAACCAGTCAGCAGAGGGCACAGAAACCCAATAGGAAGTGTTTCTGCTCTGATGTTTCTTTCTCAAGAACACAGTGAGGTTTGGGCAGTATTTAGGTGCTGGAGGCGCTCCCAGACTAGGGTTTGATTTGGTAGGTGTGGAAGGAAGATGGGGCATGGGTGAAAATGCCTGTGCCTGTGTTTCCAGGGGGAGAAGGACTGGCAGAAGTACGAGGTAGCTCGGCGCTTAAAGGATGTTGTCCACAGTATCCGTGCTCAGTACCGGATCGATTGGAAGTCCAAGGAGATGAAGAAGCGGCAAAGAGCGGTGGCCCTTTACTTCATTGATAAGGTATCTGCAGCCTCACTTGGCCCCAGGTTCCCCACTGATGTGGAATTCTGGTTTTGGCTCACCTGATCCACTGACCGTGGAGGTGTTTGGTGTCTGCTGGTTGTACTGGTCAGGTTCCTTCACATGAGGAATCTGGTGGTCTCTTCATCAGGGACTGTGGTGTTGGGTTCAGACTGAAACGGGGGAAGTTCAGGTTGGAGATAAGGAAGAAGCTCTTCCCTGTGAGGGTGCTGAGGCGCTGGCACAGGGTGCCCAGAGAAGCTGTGGCTGCCCCATCCCTGGCAGTGTTCAAGGCCAGGTTGGACAGAGCCTTGGGGTGACATGGTCTAAGGTCAGATGTCCCTGCCCATGTGTTTGAGACAAGCTCAATGGCCAGGCTCTCGCAGCTAGGAAGCGCTGGTCCAGCTGGGTTCTTCATCTCCCCTCACCACCTTCAAACCTCACCCCTGAAAATACAGCAGCAGAACTTGCTTTTACAGGCACTTGGGCTCATCCCATGCCTAATTTTGTTGGGAATCACAGACTGGTTTGGGTTGGAAAGGACCTTAAGACCATCCCGTTCCAACCTCCTGCCACAG